TCTACTTCTCTGAATCTTTTGGGAAATGTTTATTTTATAAGGTGCTGGAACAAGTTGAATATTCCATGGAACTGATGATTTTTTTCAGAAGCTCTGGAGAGTTAATGCTGGAGAAAATAAGCTTTCTTACTTTCTCCTGAAAGAATCTGATCTCCTGAAAGAACTGAACACTCCTATTTCTTTTTAGCAAATTCTTCTTCTTTCAAAGAAGTAACCAAGTGCAGAGTGCCAAGGACTCCACAGTCTTCTTTTTCCTCCCAGGATTTCATAGAATATAGCAATGACTTTATGACACTACAGCAGTGGGCATGGCTTAAATATTCATACATAACCCCTATAATATATTACACACACACCCCTATTGGATATTTAATGCATTTGTTTCACTGCTCTTTTTAAAGTACAAATTTAAGCCATTGTAGTTGGACAACTTACCACTGAATTTTGATGTCACAATATTGTAGGTTTCTGAGGGTGAAACATAGGTTTCCCACTCCTGTTAATCCTCTTTGACTAGTATATTTCTAGAATCTTAGCAACTATATTAGTGATCAGCTAATGAGCTTCACGGATGAGTAGTTTAAGCTCTCCTCTCCTATCTGATTGTTTCTACTATGCCACAATATTTATTCAAAGTTTATTCAAAGTTGATGCAAGAAGAATTAGACAGGGACCAAAAAGAGCTATTTGCTGCTTTGAGTTTTTGAATATTTATTATTTATTTATTTATTATTTAAATTTTTATACTGCCCTTCTCCCGAGGGACTCAGGGCGGTGTATAGCCACAATAAAACACATATATCCATAAAATTTAAAAAACAGTTTAAAACATATTAAATAATTTGGCCCTATATTAAAAACTAAAACACCCATTAAAATTCATTCTTAAGCCAGCCCAGCCTATTGAAACAGTAAAGTCTTAAGGGCACGGCGAAAGATACGTAGGTCAGGGATCATACGAATCTCCGAGGGCAGTTCATTCCAGAGGGCAGGTGCCCCCACAGAGAAGTCTCTCCCCCTGGGGGTCACTAGTCGACATTGTTTGACCAATGGCATCCTGAGGAGTCCCTCTCTGTGGGAGTGTATTGGCCGGTGGGAGACTATCGGTGGCAGAAGGCGATCTCGTAAGTACCCAGGTCCTAAGCCATGGAGCGCTTTAAAAATGGTAACCAGCACCTTGAAACGCACCCGGAAGACCACCGGGAGCCAGTGCAGCTCGCGCAGGAATGGTGTTACATGGGTGCGTCGTGTCGCTCCCATAATCACCCACGCGGCCGCATTCTGGACCAGTTGGAGCCTCTGAGTGCTCTTCAAGGGGAGCCCCATGTAGAGAGCATGGGGCTCTCATACATACCCATTTATATGTTGGTTTACCTATCTAGATACAGACTTCTCCAATATGCAGAATCAGTTTTTTAAAAATAGAGGGCTACATTGGGACTTAGAGCAGGGCTGTCAAAACTCCCAAACCACAGCCAGATGCGTCATGAACTGGCCACGCCAACACCCGGTTTAGCGAAGGGGAAAAGTCCCGATACATCACGTGATGCCGCCATGACAACATGAGTTTGACACCCCTGACTTAGAGGAATCACATCGTCTATTACAAAGAGAGAACTGTCACTCATGTGAGCTGCCCAGCATCAGTGAGAATTGGGCAACCTACAAGTTTATTAGATGATGATGATAATGATAGTATCTGCCCTGGTTGTTTCTTTATTGAAACAAAGCATAATGGCAGCAGAATTAAGAATTACAGTAAATAACAAATATAATAAATTTTCCTTGTTTGTTGTTATTAATATGCTCTCCTAAATTGATGACAATGAAGTAATAGTACAATGATCAATATATTATATGCTAGAAAAAAATCAAATATGTTAATCTTAGAATAAGACTTTGATGCTATTTTCTTTATTAGTATCTATACCAAAGAAAGTCATGTCATTCTTTTCCTTTCTTACTTTTTTCTTTTTCTTTTTTGAGCTTTTTTCTTTTTCTGTTTATTTATTTATTAAATTTACTTGCTGTCCAACTTGATCTTTTAATCTTGTATTTTTTAAAAAAATCAGTTAGTTATATACTATATATATATATAAAATAAGCTAATCCTTTTATGCTTCAGTGAAGGAAACAAATCATAGAGTGTACATGTATTCTGAAAAACATTCATGTTATAATATTGGTGTTTCAAAAGAAAAATATAGACGTTTTGATAACTCTAGGTTATATTTTCAATTATACTCCTCCCATGATTAACAGAATTTGAATGCATGAATTCAGCATTAAATCCAGAATTTACTAACATATTTTTTAATACACAAAATAATGTTAAATTTATAACACCTAACAGATGAAGAAACGTTACTGTTTACAAATCTATTTCTGGGCATAATTCAAAGGTTGGTTTTCACTGACTAGACTGCAGTTTTCCATACAAATCACCCTGTTTTAAGCTGTTTGGCAAAGGCCTTCTTTCTGATCTGCCAACCGAAATTAAGATGTTGGACTGAGAGCACAAAGGTCCAGGTTCTAGTTTATTAATGGCCATGGAAAGTCACTGGGTAACTCTAGGCCACTTACTCTCTATCAGTCCAACTTATTTTTCAGACATTTGCTGTTGTGGGAGTGGGGGACCAGGAGAGAACACTATGTGCATTGCCGTAACCTCGTATTTACAAAAGGTAGGATATAAATCAAATAAAAAATAAACATAGTAGAAACCTGGCAAGAAGGATGTCTTCTCAGCAACCCTTGTCAGAAAAGTACATCTAGTTTCCTTGTTGAAGATGTTCCAGCCACTGGTTAGCAAAGTATTTTAATTTCAACAAATGCTGGTTCATACTTGCTACCTCCATTTTAAATGAACAATATATTTAACAGAATCTTTTACTGATGTCTCTGCTCTGTTTTTATGTTTTTAACTTTGTAAAACACCATTAAGTTAAAGGCAAATGAGATTCAAGTCTCCAAGGATTACAGGTGGATAAAACGGCTATTCCACATGAAGAATTCATGGAGCATTCTGGATTGCTTGTACTACTAGGACAATACATTTAGCTTCTCAGAAATAATTAGTTATGCCCAGCAACCAGTTGGTAATGGCCGTCACAGGAAAGGCAAAAATATGTTTGCTGTCATAGGAGTGGAAGGGAATAATACTTTCATAGAAAGCATTACTATAAACCCTGTCACTCTGGAAGTATTTAAAAATAGTGTTTAACAGGATTTAAGATAGGGAAAAACTAAGAGGTCTAATTACCAAATGCTCATGGTCCTTTTAGGTCCTAGAGCAGGTTTCTTTATATATTTATAAAACAAGCAGGTTTCAGCTTTTTGCCTAACTTGTGTACATAGATATAAAATGATACAAAATGTTTATATTTGATCAGCACCAGTAACTGTTTTATTACTTAGCACCCATGGTAATCTAATCAATCAATCAATCAATCAATCAATCAATCAATCAATTTGATACAGGTAGTTGTCAAACTTACAACCATTTATTTAGTGACCGTTCAATAGCAATAGCACTTAGACTTATATACTGCTTCGCAGTGCTTCTACAGCCCTCTCTAAAAAAATTTTATGCCTAAATCTTCCCCCTTTTTAAATGTGGAAATTTTAAATTTTAAATTTTTAAATTTTAAATTCGTCTTATTTATAGGGGCATGGGTAAGGCGTTTTAAATTGGGGAGCCATTTTGGATTTAATTCTGTTTTAAATGTATTTTAATGTTTATATTGTATGTTTTTTAATTTTGGCTGTTCACCGCCCCGAGTCCTTCGGGAGAGGGGGCGGTATAAAAATCTAATAAATAAAATAAATAAATAAATAAAATGTAAAAATTACATAATATCCATAATCTATCATCCATCTATCTATCTATCATCTATGTATCTATGCATCTATCTACCTATCATCTATGTATCTATTTAGCTAGCTAGCAAGCTAGCAATAGCATTTTTACTACCTTCAAACAAGTATAAATGCTCCACTCTTCCACTTTAACAATCCTTGAAATGATATTATTATCTGAAGTGGACTAATGGGAGCTCTTACCTAGCTTCACAAAGTCCATTATTTCACATTAGCTCAACGTGAACTGCCTAATGTAAACATGCATAGATGGGCCTGCCTTTGACAGAGTAGATACCTGATTAATCATCTATTGCCTTACCAGTTCCAACTGTTAATCAGGGATTGCTTTTATTTTCCCACACACTATTCTCTTTAGAAAGCTAATAAGTATTAGCTTACTAGTATTACATATCATTTCTAGCATACTATATCAAAAATAGCATTTTTGAAATTAGACTATTGGAGCTCCTGAATATATATACTGGTAGCTATTTCTCATAGGAGAGAACATTTTTGTCCTGTCTGCAGTGATCAATTTTATATAAACCTAAATTAGCCAAGCATTAAGATATGGCCAGAAACTCTTTCTAAAATTCTCAATTAAACTACTAATTTATCCCCATAAAACATATATATCCTCCCCAAAAATTCTCCCAAAATTATTTTAGTGATTCTTATCCTTTGATGCATTTTGAGAAAACACTTTAAAAGATACATTTTTCAGGTGGCATTTATCTTTTCTGCCAAAGCTGCTGCTTTCTGTCCCAACTACATATTTCTTGAGTAATGCCATTTTAAAGTTCATGAAAATAATGTCACACCTAATTTTCAGTGTGACATCTTACATTTCCATGCCTTAACGTCTTCTGGCCAGTGGCTGGGGAAAAAAGCAGGGAGAGTCAACCTTCTGACAAGCTTGTTAAATACTAAATGCTCCCTTCTTCTAATCCACAGTTTTCATAAATTAAGCATTGCTGTGTTCTTGTCTTCAAATGAATCAAAATGCCACATTCTGAAAAAGCATCCTTCTAAGCAGTGTTTTTATGCTGACATCCAATAAAACATTCTGGCCTGCCAAATGCAGCAAAGAGTTTCCTGGGGCTAATAGGGAAGAAGAAACAACTGCTCTGTCCCATTACCTGCATGAAGCCAGATCTGAGCCAAAGTCATCCAAGGATGCAGAGGACCCTGCTTTGGAGTGCTACTCTGCAAAGATGAAGCCACCTCTGATAGTGCCTGCTCCACTCTAGAGGCTGCTATTGATGTCGCATGGACCGAACCTATGAAAGGAATGACAAGTAATTGATTTCAGGAGAAAGGGACAAAGATGCAAGCTCTCACATGCAGGTTCTAAATTCTTCATTTTAACTCTGTGTAAGGTAAAACTGTTATAAATCCCCAAAACCTATACTTCAGGGCACATGTAAGACATTTTTAAAAAACTTCATTAGGAGGTTAGTGCTGGTGAACCTATGTTAAAAGGCTACTAGTGGAAATGACAAATGAGACTGGAGCAGCCATTGGGAAACACAAAGGTTTTTAGCTGTCAAATAGAAGTGAGTAAATTTGTGAGTACACAAATGCTAAGGCCCAGAGGGGGTGCAATAACACTGTATGATAATTTCGTTTACTTGCTCTTTAATACAAGTCTTTGTGATTTTTTTCCCAGCAAAATGGATAATTTGAAGGGTAAATTAAGAGTGAAAAAAAAAACCCAACGTATTACATGGGAAGTAGCCTCAACATTTCCCTTAAAAGAAATCCAATGGCATAAATCAGTCATTCTCAACCTGTGGTCCGTGAAACCCTGGGAAGCCACAATATTGTCACAGGGGCTCCATGAAGGCTTGAAGAAATGCTATGATTTAAATCTTGGGTTAAGTCTTTCTGGTCCGGGGCTATGGTCTGGGGCCACGAAAGGTATTTAAAGGGGGTCTTTAGTGAAGAAAAGGTTGAGAACCATTGGCATAAATTATAAAGTTCACCTATCAACAACACTAGCAGCAGTTAGAAAAGTAAACAAAATGGACAGTTCATCCAAAATGAGTTGGAGTATATAAAAAAAGATGATTCAGAGCTATTAGATCTTGATATCACCTCATTTGTTACCATTTGTCAATTTTTTTTTAATGACTAATCATATTTCAGTGCACAAAATAGTGCCAAATTATCATCAGCTCTCACAATGCATGTAGAATATAGCAGTTTTTGCTGCAGTTTCTAATTATGTAACAGACTTAGTACATCTCTTTAAATGTTCATGGCACTTATTAGATTCTACAAGTATAGCACATAGGCACATTCCAAAAAAGCTTAGGTTGCCAAAGAATTTAAGTGAAAAGTGAAGTAAGAAGAAAACAAAGATAAATTCCTTCTTTGTTGAGCTATGGCAATCTTATCACCTTCTCTGGTTTTCTTGATGGGAATTTTGAAACTAAATTTACCGTTTTTCTTCACAAAGTAATGGTATATGTTTACGGATAGTTGTATTAGACACCACAGATTAATATGTCTGGCTGGAGTTATTGGCTTTCTTGTCTGAGTCATACAATCAGTCATGGCAAGTGCTTTTGATTTTTGTCTTTTTAGCTATATGCAGCTGAAACTGTTCCTTACATTCATTAGGGGAAAACATTATCCATTTAGTTTCTGTTTGCTATACAATTGGTTAAGGTAGAAGAGGTCTGTAATATTCAAGACTGAAACATGCAGCTTCCAAAGAGATGCTGCAGGAATTTCATCCATACTTCATGTATTCATTTCAGGTTTTTAAAAATATATTTCACACTCCTACATCCGGATCTTACATAAATATATCTGAAAGTCAGCAACATTTATTTCAACAGAACTGACTTTAATAAATGTGGTCAGGGTTAATCTTAGAGATCAGCACTGAGGGAGGACTTTTCACATATATTCAAGAGCTTTAATTCAAAACCTGTTCTTACACAGTATATTTTCAGGACTTGATCATCTTGTTTTACTCAAGTCCTTTCTAGCTAATAACGTGATACACAAAGGGGGCATTAAAAAAAAGTCAAGATGCTGGCTTTCCTTCCTTCACATGCCTTATATTACAACTCATATAAAAAGGGAGGTAGGACTTAAACTGTACAATTGCAGCCACATTCTTGGGACACCTCCCTATGGTGAATTGCCACAAACTGCCTCCTGTATTTTGGAAAGTCTCTGGGCCTTTGAAAACTTTTTAGGCGGGCAGAGGGCATCTGTTTTCCACTTAAGCACTATGGACCTTAGTTACCACATACTTTAGGCTTTTCATATATATTGAACAGAAATATTGAAAAAGGGACAGCTAGAAAAGGAGAATGAGAAAGACTGACATATTTGTCCTGCTCAACAGCATTTGAACCTTATACTATTACCAACATTAATTCAAGTAATAAGATTTCCCTATGACTAGGTAACCCTAACCCTAGTTACCCTTCTCCACATTAATATTTTATAACGCTTAACTACAATTAAGGCAAGAAAGGATAGAAAGATGGGAATATTTGTTCTAAAGGCTCTCAAATATATTATCCCAACTCATGGCGCTCCCATGTAACACCTCTCCTGCACGAGCTGCACTGGCTTCTGGCGGTTCTCCTGGTGTGATTCAAGGTGTTGGTGACCACCTTTAGAGCGCTCCATGGCTTAGGACCTGGGTACCTACGAGACCGCCTTCTGCCACCAAGAGCCTCCCACCAGCCAGTACGCTCCCACAGAGAGGGGCTCCTCAGGGTGCCATCGGTCAAACAATGTCGATTGGCGGCCCCCAGGGGGAGAGCTTTCTCTGTGGGAGCACCTGCCCTCTGGAACGAGCTCCCCCCGGAGATATGGAGGATTCCGGATTTATGTACTTTCCGCCGGGCTGGCCTAACTTCTCCAATTGCTTAATTTTAATTTTAAAAGGGGTATTTTAATTGTTGGGCCAAAATTGTTTAATATGTTTTTTAAACTGTTCTTAAATTTTTGTATTCTGTGTGTTGGCTGTTCACCACCCTGAGTCCTTCGGGAGAAGGGCGGTATATAAATTTCAATAAATAAAAATAAATAAATAAATAATAAATTACCAACTGTATTTATAAGCCAGGACTGTTATGTTTACAATTTACACTGGTATACTGTATACTCTCAATTTCTCTAACATTGTAACCACACATTCTTGACACACAAAACATCTATTGTTATTTCAATACTATACTATTCTTTTATTTTTTGACAGACATGTATATAAATTTGGCCCAATAAGCAGATTTGTACAAATTTTTACAATTGAAAATGTGTTATGTTTAAATATGCAAGATCAATAGCTGGTAAGCCACAGGTCCTATGAAGAGCCTACAAGTTCACTCCCAAACAAACAAACATACAAACAAACATTTATTTCTGGCCTCTCTTACAGAGTTGCAGTAATGAAAGAGGAAAAATCAGAATGGAACCAATTGAGGACTGATTATATAATCCAGACAGTCTGGTGTACCTGGATGCATATATCTATATATAGTTGGAAACAGTCCCAAACAGTGGTTGGATGGAAATTTATGGAAATCCAACATAGCTTGAGGTATGTCAAATCCCTAAACTTCTATTCTACACCTTAAAACGGATTTGAAGAAAAGGTTGGAGAAGAGAGTACTGGAGTATTATTTAATATTTTATCTTATATCTATTTGAGGAATTATTACTGTTACTGAGATACCACTGCATTCTCTTGGACATGGCCGTGCATCAGAATGAATGGCTTATTTTAAATTCCTTTAATTAAACAAGAATATGCCATAATTTGAAAAAATAATATGGAAGCTTGTCACTGTGAAAAGGTGAATAATACTGAAATTGTAAGAATTTGGGAAGACAGGTGGTTTTGTTTTCGAAAAGTTAGGTAGAAGGAAAAAAGAACAGTTTCTGTTCTACTGTGCCCCTGTCCTTGATGGCTTATGAGAAATAACATTGTTGTAAAATGAATTTATCACTATTTCCAGAGGCTCTTTCCTTCCTTGCTACAAGATGAAAAGTTACTTTTCAATTAAATGTCATGATAATGTTTTAGTTTAAAAGATGAAAATAATTGGAATTAAGCAAAACCATGCAATGTAAAAACATATTAAAATCCACATGCACATAAATTAAAACAGAAAGAAAAAGCAGGCTTCAAAGCATGTAGAAACACCAAAATGTGGAGCATGCAGAGATCTGTATGCCAGTGCAAGCAAATCACTGTCTAGACTAAGAGACAGTATCTTCTGCAGGACTAGATAAAATAGACATATGTACTTATGGACAAATCTGATATGACTTTATTTCAACTGCACAATTCATCTCGCACTCCCAATATATTAAAATGCTTCTGGATTTTTTTGGAAATAGGTGTAACAGAAGTGAAACTTTGGCTTTCCGCTCTATCAGTTATTAATATTATTTTGTTCCATGAAATTTTTCCATGAAACTCAACAATTAATTAGGCACAAATCGAACTCAATATAATAAATTAATAGGATCAGAAAAGGTCAAAGGTAGCTAAAAGTAACAATATATTAAAGATTTCAGATCATTTGTAAGTATCAAACAAAAATAATTTTCTTAAAGAACTGTAGTTTTAAATTTTTGGCTGCTTAAATTTTTGAATTTAGATTATTTTTCTTGATTAGCTTCGTTTATTCCTATTAGCTAAGGAGCTAGAACGTCATTCAACTTCCAACTGAGCTGGAAAAATCACTGCAATGATACATAAATATGGCTGCTTATAAAGTACATCAATGACTATCCAAGGATTAACTCCTTTATCCAAAATGTATTCATTTGGAGCCCTCCAGAAATTAATACTGCCTCTTTAATAACTGAAACCAAGTGACTACATAAGTGCATTCAGATCTCATAGGATTACAGCCTCAGGGTAACTTGAATGGGTCTAGAGCAACAGCCTTGCTTTGCACAATGTCAACTTCCATGGCGAATGGACAACATTTACATTCTGTGGTGAAGGGAGAGTGTTACTACTAAATCTTTAGAAATTTAATAATAGACCTATATAGTAAATGCTACTTACAAACTGAAAAAAGGGAGAAAAAACCATGAAAGTAAGCATCTGGAGGGTTGCCTTTAAACAACAGATCAAACCACAAATTAAAATCACAAAAAAATAACAGCTATAAAATAGAATTACACAAATGCAATTACACTTCTGATAACCTTCAAACTGTAAGCCAGTTTTCTTGTTTTCCAAAGGATTTTGAACATTGCACATATGGACTTCAAATCAGACAAAATTTTAATAGTGATATTGAAGTATTTAAGTTATTAACCCTCTTTCAGGCCACATTAATATACTGTACAAGTGCAACATAGAGAAACAATAAATACATTTATTAAAAAGCCAGAGAGGACTTGGACCATTTTTATTCATCTGAACTTAAAGGGAAAAACACTGTTGTGCTACACAAATCACATGATGGAAACTAATTAAGGAGAGAAACAAGCTAGAACTGAGGTGAAATTTCCTGACAACTAGGACAATTAATCAGTGGAACAACTTGCCTCCAGAAGTTGTGGATGCCCCAACACTGGAAGTTTTTAAGAAGAGATTGGACAACCATTTGTCTGAAGTGGTGTAGCGTTTCCTGCCTAACCAGGGAGTTGGACTAGAAGACCTCTGAAATCCCTTCCAACTGTTTTTCTGTTATTCTGTTACTTTCAGGACAAGGCAGAATAGAATCTAACAAGGAGAATACACATTTAACCCTAACAGGGCATTTTTTTTACAGAGTTCAAATGATTACTGAGAATTTCATAGGAGCTGGATAATTCGCAGTTCACTTCTAAATTAGTGTTTCTTTTTTATTATTATTATTATTGCAGAAGGACCTTGACTTATTGGCTACCCTAAATTAAAATATTTCAACCTACCTGGACTACAATTTATAATACTGTTTTGGTGTTCAATAGTGTTATGAATTCAAAACAATTATTTTGCACGTATGAAAATTCACTTCTAAATTGGTCAAAACTGTTTAAAACACAGAACAATTCATTTTAAACTTAAAAGCACTGTTTATAACTCAGAATGGCCCTTTTCTGAATTCAAAACAATTTAGATTTGAAACATTTACGTATTATTATTATTTTTTAAAAATGAGACTTATCTACTAAATTTCTTAGTCATTAGTATTTGTTGAAATAAAAACAAATTTAATTTCTTTAGTTTTCAGGAGAAAAGTAATTCCAGAAATGTTCAATTTACACTCTTAATTTAATTAATTCTTATACATGATCACTCGTCCGATGAAGCTCAGTTCTGATACTTATACTTTACAAAAAATAGCTCTCTAATTACAGATTATAACAATATTCTGAACTATACCATTTTAGATTAGAGAGGAAAATCTGAAATCCTTCTTTTCAATGTTTCCCCATTTAAAAATTAAACACAATAACCACAATAACTGCTGCATGTGAGAAATCAGCATGATGAAAATTGACTGCATAGTATTCTTAAAGGTATGTTTTCTTTATTTTTGGACTTGTAGACTCAAGTGGTATGGTTAGAATTCTTCCATATTAGTTTATTATTTTCTTATATGTAATGCAGTATGTAATTCTTAAAACTGCAAAATATTTTAATGAAGAAAATGCATGAACAAAATGTACTAATAGCCCTAAACAGGCAAATGGGAATAGCAAAAGCATTGATATAAGTGCACAAAAACTAATAATTCAAAGTTCATTTGAATACAACAACATGATTTATATACATCTGCTAACCATTTACTAACCTCTGTCATTTATTTCTATCCTAGAGATGATTTCTTCATGTTTCTTTAGTCAAATGAACAGATTAAATCAATTTTAATAGCTCATCCTCAAATCATGCCAGGATAACATGGATGAAATATCCAGGAATGAAAATTATTACCAATTATATTTAAAATCTTCAATCAGTTTTATTATTTCGAATAAGAAACTATCAAATAGTAAAGCTACTAAAAATGTAGCATCTAAAAGCAATTTAAAGGAAACCTCTGTGTTCGTAATCATGCAGGAGATACTCCACTTTATGAAAAGATGCAGCATAAAAAAACAACAAAACAATGCTGTCCCTCTCTGCCAATTACATCAAACAAAACTGACACATTTGGAACAAGCAAATTTAAAATTTGCTTCCCATTGTAGCACACTGGGTTTTTGACACAGTGCATCCCTTAAATCTTAATCCCTAATATAAGAGCTTTTCCATATTTATATTTTGCATGTTTTGAGTCACAGAAAAAATATTGTGTCTTTCTATCTAAGCTTTTATTAACAAAATGGCCCTCAGATCTATCAGTTGGAATTAGATGCAGTGTTTTCATAATGGGCACAACAATTTCTCTTTTTGCATGCCATTAGATCTGAGAACCAACCCTAATAAAGCAGATGGTTAGAAATGCTGTGCTAGCAGGTGCCACTGGCCAGAGCAATAGCTTATGCCAACACTTGCTCTATCTTATCAAGAAGACAATGGAGCCCCCTAGTGGATTCTTTAAAGTAAAGCCTTCTAGCTGCTAGATGGGAAAGCCAATTTGAGAGGGTATCTAGTTGAATCCACTCAATGCTCTCAAATGCCTTGGTGATAAGCCTTTTTTTAAAAACTTTTTTTTAAAAAGTCAAATATGTAATCCATAAATTGTATTTATGCCAAATTGCAAATTTCAGTGCAATTTGTGCTTAGCAGTTAGAGATTATCAGAAGCACCAAAAGAGCAAGCTAACACCTATCATCAGAAAGAGGAAATCTGTTTACAGAATGAAGGTTCGCAGGGCCCAGGAACGTGGTCACAAGATGGATTGGCTGCATGGGGCCAGACAAAGGAATCAGTTTTGGGAGGTGAGTGAGGAGACTGAGGAGACATAAACAGGTGGAGGAGAGATTCTGTCCTTGAGAGAGATGAAGATGTAGAGGAATCAGAAGCTAAAAAGTGAAAGAGAAAAATTATAAAGAAAATGCCAAGAATAAAATATGAATGGATAAATTAATGGAGGCCAGGAAAGAAAGAAATGTATAGCCCACTTAGCTATTATTAAATGGAGATGGAAATATTTCCACACAGAAAACACTATTATTACAGAATTATAGCAAGTCAGAGATAAAATTAAAAATATATATTGAAAGGAGCAAGGAAGGGGGAAAAAAACAAATCAATTTACTTTAGCAAGACAAATGAAAATATTTCTTAGCTATGCTATTTAATGAGAGATAGAAACACACATTCAATCCTGAAGTTAATACATCTCTTTCTCACTGGGTAACTGTCTGCAAGGTTTTTTAAATTACTATTATATTTGACTGACAGCAGACATAATAAGACTATTTCATAAATGTCCTAAAGAACAAGATAATAATAATATATCAGCTGAAAAGTGTTTTTGTTGATATACTTCAATTTATGTCACCTACTTTTTTCTCAGAAATCTGTCTCCGATTCTGCACAACATCAACTTAAAACTAGCTTTTCTGTTTTAATCCTTTGGTTCTGCCCAGCAACTTAGAAAAAAAAGCAGTCAAACAATTGCTTCATTTTGTCTAAATTAACCAGACAACACTATTGCCTTTAAGCAATTAACATTCGCTTATAATTCAGATGTTATGATTGAGTATGACTTCCCCTAATTTATTTGTGCCAGTATTTATTTATTAACAAAGGCTTATATGCCAGTCAATTCATTCAGACCTCTTATCGTTTATATTTCCTTCTTTTTGTAAGAGTTAAAATAAAGAAATGCTATACATATACCAGGCTACAGGATAAAATAATAATAACAACAAAAGTTACTAAGAAAGAGTCCACTGAAGACTAAGTATCCAAACCTTACGTTGCAAAGTATGTGGGAAACTTTTCATAGTTAATTTATCTGGATTCATTAAAGTACATACCACCAAGACTCGCCCTGTCCAATGGTAATTTGCAGATGCTATAGACCAGGGGTGTCAAACTGGTGGCCCGCGGGCCGGATGCATCACACATAGGCCACACCACCCCAGTTCCGCAATCGGGAAAAATGTCACGAAATGTCACGTAACGACAACGTGACGCAGCAAGTTTGACACCTGTGCTATAGTCTAACATCACTATTATTTGCAGCCACCATTTATTTCTCAATGCAACAACTGTCTGTAAAATAGTATCATTCATGTAATTTTACTATATGTAATAAAATATAAATTGTAATCAATTCAATTATCTAGATAAACTGAACCAAGCTGTGCCCTACTGTAATCTATAGGGTTTATAAATATTCCAATTGGTGCCAACCCGGCTCCTTAACCTCCTGAGATTTTACTTTTAAAAAAATAACAAATTTGCAGCAGATATGCTGCAAAACAAAATAAGAGTGCTTTTATGCCCCCAATGTGTTGAAAAAGCTATATTCAAAAATAAACAAAAGAAAATGAAAATCAATAGGCAGTTTGGAAGTACGCCCATCTTTTCAGGAAAAAATTCCCAATAAAAAAATATGATAAGAAGTAGCCTAAAGGAATGACAGCTAGAGATAATGAAAAACAACAACAGCAGCAACATGGCAATAATTTTACAAAGAATATGCACGGTATATTCTCAACATTTGAAAATTTGTACCATTCTACAAAGGATTAAGAATCCTTTTGATCCTGCATAAAGTCCCTTGGAAATTAACCTTTCAACAAAAAGAAAACTTAAAGCCAAAATATGCAACATTCTATATTTTACTCTAACAACTTAGAATTAACTTGTGAAACAAAAAAAATAAATAAATCATATTTTGAACCATCTTGTAACCAAATATTTAGACATAACCTAATACTTCAAATCTTTTTGATACAAAATTTAATATAAAAAGGTAATGAAGTGTCTTATTTCAAGGCTTATCTTCTATAAATCTGTGTATATGTCACAGCATTTACGAAGATTGGGGTAAATATCCCTGAGTTCCTAAGTTAAAACTTAGGTCCTAAGTTTTCTTGAGACGTGCATGTTGAAGATCTAATTACATGACAACATTCAAACAACTTCAATTAAATAGAGAGTAGAACACATAGCTATCACATAGATAAACAGCACTGGTAGTTATTTTATCACTCTGTCTATCTATCTTTCAAATTTATATAGTTTCTCAATTCATAAAAAGCAACTCTGTGGCATACAACAAAGGACTACAAACAATAAATATATAAAAACAAGTCATTGTTAAAATATAAAACAGATATTAAAAATAACATTAAAAAACAAACAGCACAGCCCCAATGAAGTTGTAAGTTTTTATTGATCTTTTGGGACTCCAGATCTGGTGACAAAGCCAGGTCTTGAGGGACCTCCTGAACATCAACGGGGATGAAACTAGCCCCACTTCAGGGAGGGAGGGAGAATGATCCATTAGACAGGCACCATGGTAGAGAAGGTCTGACACCAGGGACCCACCAAGCAAAGATCCCTGGCAAATAAAACCCACAGCATACCTATTTTATCAAATCTGATGGCATGGGCAGAGGTAATTGGGAAGAGGCCATCCCTAGATAATCAAGGTCGCGTATCAAGAAGGGATTTAAAGGTGAGAACCAGCACCTTCAATTAGATCAGAAGTAAACTGACAACTAATGCAGCTTGGGAACAGAGGTATACTGTGTGCTTTTTTGGAAGGACATATACCTGGGCCGTTGCATTCTGCAACAGCTGAAACTTCTGGATACTCCTCAAGGACAGCATTATATAGTCCAATCAGGACATGACTAAGGCATGAGTGACTCTGAGCAGAGCTTCTTGATCTGGGAATGAGTACAAGTGAAGCACAATACAAGCTATGAAAAGGTCCCCATAGCCATGACTGTCATCTGATCTTCAAGGAGTCACGAATCCAGTAGGATCCCAGATTATGCAGTACATGGGGCAGTACAACTCCATCCAGCCTAGTTTTCAAAGTGGCAGGCTCCAAACCCAAAGCTACTCGGTCTTGCCAAGCTGAAGCCTGTTCTTCCGTATCCAGACCTTTACGATTTCCAGGCATAGGGATAAGATGTTCACAGATGTTCACAGTAGCACTAGCAATAGCACTTAGACTTATATACGACTTTACAGTGCTTTATAGCCCTCTCTAAGCGGTTTACTGTCAGCATATTGCCCCTAACAATCTGGATGCTCATTTTACCCACCTCGGAAGGATGAAAGGCTGAGTCAACCTTGAGCCTGTTGAGATTTGAACTGCTAAATTGCAGGCATCCGGCAGGCAGCAGTTCAAACCACTGCACCGCCACTACTGATTATCAGTATCAGTTAATTTAGCACGGGCAGAGACATAAAATTATATACTGATGATACCTCACCCCATGGCAGTGGATGAGATATCCATATAAATTTTAAATAAGGGAGGAGCACCATATCCTGCAGTATCCCACATAGTAGGGAGCTGAGTATTACTACTGTCTGGAATTGGTCATGGACAAAGGATAAACTAGCATAAAAATGGCATCTCCTGCCAATTTTCTGTGTGCTCTGCATTTCGGATGCTTAATGTCTTGTTTTTATGAACAACTGCAGTCAGGTGATTAGAGGGAGAGGGAGAGAGGGAGGGAGGGAGAGGTATCTATATGTGAACATAATGCAGAAAGTGATTTTATTTTTGAAATCTAAGGATTCATCTTCTATTCCATATAATATTACTATTTCAATCATTTATATTTATGTGGGTAGAAAGATTACTTCCTAAACCTATGGCAAATAAATTATTACATTGAAATAACAAATTTTTACGGGTATTTTGCTAGCAGAACACAAACAATATGAAAAAATAAAATCTTCAAAGAATGGGAGAGTTGTTAGAACAAATAATGTAGGATACGTAGGGTTAGGGTTATTAAAAGAATGGAACTTGGAAGTGTGATCCTGCCAAAATCCTTATCTGAAATGCAGAAATGGTTACATTGGATTTGGCCAAGAGGCATTTAATAATAACAGTATTTCTGTTTTCATCCTACCAAACCTTGCTTGGTAGATTCTGAAATTAAATGACTTTATAGCAACAACAATTTTGCTTCAAAATGAAATTTATCACCCAGATTACCTAGAAAGATTTAAGTGGAGATTTAAAAATGAAGAACAAGTAACCTGATACACTCAAATGGATTGTTTCTTCTAAGAATATATGTAAACAAACTGAAAATTTACTGTGTAACTGTTTACATCCTATCTTGCAAAGAAAACAAATAATTGTGTCTGACATTTTGATGACAACAGAATGAATATTCACCTGTTTCAGGATCACTGAAATCTGGGAGAGTGATTGTATTGAGCTGTCGCCTGTCAGCAATGGCCCTGTCCAATAAACTGCTGCCACGTCCAGAATCACTGTAGGAAATAATGCAATATATTAATACTTTAATTCATTACAAAAGAATAATGAGGTCTGTACATCATGTCTTTGTGTATGTGTATTATATACTCTATGTGTGTATGTGTGTGTGTAGCTATGCTGTTTGAAAGCATTTGAAACCAACATTGTCTTTTACATATTCACCTTTCCATTTCTGAGACTTCTGAAGTAGTTGAAATTCAGCCGTTATAAAATGTGTTGTTTTTATTTGACTGTTAACGCACACACTCTCTCTAACACATATTTTTCTATAGGAAAGCAAGGCTACTTAGTGCTGCTAATGCAGCAACAATGCTATTGACAAATGATAAACGCTAAAAAAGTATGACAAATTCTGGTTTCTTCGTGCCTGCTTTAAACTGTAAAAAGGACATCCTAATTTTTCATCCTGGCAATTTCCTCTTAGTGAAATTTCTACATCCATTTTCAAGTAACGCCTTCTATGCAGAGAATAAAACTACTTCCTTTCTTTGTTCAGCTGCTATAAAAGAGGTATAAAACATTCTGCAAGACACTGAAGTAGGGTTGCTGGACACCTAATTCCATGTGCAATGAATGATGCAATTACAATAATCCACAGGAAACAGAAGGGAAACCTTTCTTGGTCCATTTCATCAAGCAATAAGTATTTTATTAATCAGCACACATTTCCTAGAAACTGCTGCATTAGTCAGCTCCTTGTTACATGTGCCCAATATTAATAATGAAAATAATGAAGCTAACAGTTATTCATCTCTTTTGGATACTTGGCTGCATGGTGCAGGGAGATCTGCTTGCTTTGTTTTTTCTAATTTGATACTCCTCACATGAGTGATAGGAAGGAAGAGATATTATTAGCCAGAAACATATGCTAGACCTGTTTCAAACATAGTCCATTCTGAATATGTATACCTGGTATATAAAATCATTACAATAAAGTTAAGAAGGCTATGTAAATAATTTTTATTGTCTAATGGCATCCACAACTGACTTTCCTAAGGTATAAAAGCGTGTTTGTTCTGGGCAGATCTTTGTTTTCATACCTACAGTATGTCCCTCTAAAAAGGGTAGCCCAGTTATCCTTAGTAACAACTTAGCTGCTCTAGTGCACAAAGCATGTAGTGAATGACATTGACTTGGTTTTCTATTTTTAAAACATGAGTGATGATCCATTAATGAGGAAGCCTTTTATTATGTAATGCATGTTTTATGGGACTGTCATGTCGATTTATTTACAAATTTCAACTCATAGCTAATCTGCTTACAGGTGGAGAGTATAATCCATCTATTGAATGAATGGGGCCATACATTTTTATCTTTCCAATGTTGCAATATCAGTCTTTTGGATATAGTAAGGGCACAAATAACCCAGTTACATTGTCCAGTTGTCATATTTCATGTAATAGGTATGTAATTCAAGAGAATACTATCCTTCAAAAATATTAGTTTTTGTCACACTGTCATAATCCACTACTTTCTCCCAAATTAAGTATAGGACATGGTGAAAACATGTGTTTTAACAAAATATTATCTTTATTACAGCTCCAACAGAATGCTGTCTTAGACAGACCTTTTACATTCAAATATAGAGGACTCCTATAAATTCTAAGTTATTAGAATAGAATAGAATAGAATAGAATAGAATAGAATAGAATAGAATAGAATAGAATAGAATAGAATAGAATTTTTATTGGCCAAGTGCAACTGGACACACAAGGAATTTGTCTTGGTGCATATGCTCTCAGTGTACAAAAAATAAATAAATAAAATTATCTTTTGTTGTACAAGTTGAAGTTTAAGGTCCATTGACAGTCTTGGTATAAAAATGAAGTCACTATCCCATTGTCTAGACAAGATAGGAGCATCTAATTCTTTATTCCACTCATTTCTTAGTATCTGTAAAATTCTACACTCCCATATAAATTTCCCTCACTAATATGGTTTTTTTTTTAATGATGGTGTATTTCTATTAAATTCAGGATGCAGTATTTCATTGAAATCTATTACCACCTTTATCATTCAAATATTTAAAACTTTCTCAAAACATAATAGGACAATTTAAATTAGGTGCATAGGCATTAACCATCGCTATTGCAGTCCCTTCAATTAATACAAGTGACCTCTATTCTGCAAGAGTCACTGAATCTCTTTTTTCATTGCCAGAAGTTCCTCAGTAAAGCAACAGCATATAATAGGGCTCTAATCTATAACCTGATTCATCTCTGAATCCTAGAGATTCATAAACGCTTCAGGCGAGTTGCCTATCAATTGCCAATAAAATCTGCAAAGCAGCCAGGAATCTCTCTGAATCCATCAATCTTTACAAGGAGATCGACTTTAATGTACTGAGTAATCTCTGCAATTGCACTGAGCTTCCACTATTGTTACCTTGATGGGCAGTTATAGTGCATAGTAAATTTACTTATACCTGCAGATAAATTTGCTGTATCTTAATCCAGTATTCCCCAATTGGGTGATCTAAATGTGTTGGGATTATAATTCCCATGATTCCTAGCCAGTAAAATGGAGAAGGCCAGAATCTCTCTTAATTTTTTTCCACAGATTTCTTTATAAATATTCTAACAATGCCTACCTTCATCACTTAAAACAAAACATTTTGTAAATTAAAACATTAATTTACAAAAATAAGATTTATATTTTAAAATGCAAATCTAGCCCAATGATTCAGATTTTTCCAATTAAAATGAAGAAAGCAATCCTAAACCACTCATATGTACCATATGTTAAAATAAAATCAATATTAAAAAGCTATTTGCAAAATAAGAACAATAGAACATCTCAATAATAAACTATATTTTATAATTTTTAAAATTATGTATTATTTTGTTCATCAGATGATCCATAATTCACATTACTGAATCCATAATTCTTACCTGGGATTAGTAAGATTGTAACAAGATTTCCAGATCTGCAACATATGTTTACAAGTAAGAAGTGCCTCATCGGGGCCCCTGCAGAGTGATTCCAATTTGACTTTGGAAAACAACAATCTAAGAGAAAACAAATATTAAAGCTTCTTTATACTTTTATACAGTGCCATTATTTTGTACTTCCAATGGAAATAATACCGTTTTAAAGTAAATTCATGAAAAGGTAGAACAAGGAGAAATAGAATTGCATTTATTTTTATTATAAAACAATTGCATTTAGACATTTGTTTCAGTATGTCTAAATAATATATAATGTAATGTGTAGAAAGACAGCTGTGGGGTATTTACAGAACAAAGAAGAAGCTGGGAAGCAGAAAATCACATTCTTACTCATCAAGAGTGAAGATTATAGGATACCATCAGGAAAAATGAAAAACGAATTTAGAACCTCTCCCAACATCACAGCTGGATTAGTTCAATGTCATGTTGAGCATGTGTAGAAGCAGAAATAATTATTACTCACATAAAATTTTCTGGGTATTCACTCAAGGCCATGTCAATGATATTCAGAGCATCATGGTAGTGTTTCTGAGCTGACAGCAAGAGGGCAAGGAGATGTAAAGAATTAGCATCATCACCTTGAAGCTGCAGAGCCTGACGAACGTAACCCAAAGCTTCTGGTATCTAGTTAAGATAAAAACTGAAAGGAATTATTACCACAATACGTATTTTTAGAATAATTCTATTACCCATATGGATAATAACAACAGCAAGAAGGAATGGAAAGTAGTCCTAAACACATGTTTACACATGTAAGTTTTGGAGGAAACATTTCACTAGAGAGCTTGCTTACAGATACTAATGATTTTGTTATCCATTAAGCTATAAGAAGTATGTACCCAGTCTTGCTAAAATCAGATTTAAAAATAAACTTTCCCTTAGCATTGTAAATTCAAGGTACATCAATATTACTTAAATACATGAAATGAACCTGTTTCAGGTTTCAAAATTCTGCAATTTAATTTTTTAAAGATCTTTCATTGTTTATTTTCTCAGAATGCATTTGGCTTGGGCCCTTCCCATGTTCTAGTACTATTCAAAAAGAAAATAGTCTTAACAAAGACAAAGCAACATCCAAATGTCATGATTTTGGGATAGGGGCATTAAAGGTAGAATAAAAAGATGCATGGACTGAAGACTTTGTACTTTGTACTCTAGTCTTTACTAGAAAATGAATTATTTTATGTAATATATACAAATAAAATACAAAACTTGAAAATTGAATCCTATATGCAATATAATGTTATTTTTCTACCCTAACACTGAATCAACAAGAAGGAATGTAGGCATACAAAAGTGATCGATAAAATATTCCTGATATTTTGTACAGCAATTTTGAAATGTATAAATAATTTCATTTGGAAATAGGAACATAGTGGATATTAAAAGCACTTCAATTAACAATTGTATTTACTGCCAATCAATGTTAACAATGTTACTGATTTTTAAACCTACCTGTCGAGAAATAGCAAACTGTAAAGCTAAATAAAAGGCTGCCAGATGATCAGTTGGAGACAAAGTATGTGCCCTGAAAATAATTAAGATATATTAGATTTATTGGTATTACATTTATCTAGATCATTTGTATTGCATCCTGGAAAACTGTCTTCAGTTGTAATGTGACATTGGATGGATTTTCAATGTTACTTCCTTTCTTCCTTTATTGATAGTTTAACACACTAGAAGTTTGTTGTTTCTGACACCCAGGCAGTTGTACTTCCTAATCAAATGAGCCCTCCCTCCCTCTCTTCCTTCCTGTCAGTTATTATTTTTTTACCTATTTTCCCTGGTTGTTTCAAGATGTCAGGGCCTTAATTATGAAATCCAGTTGAGTGATTATGAGCCAGTCACTCCCTCTCAGCCTAATCTACCTCACAGGGTTGTTGTGGAGAAAAAAGGAGGAAGAAGGTATGTTGGATATGTTTGTCACCTTGAGTTATTTGTAAAAATAAAAGGTGGGATACAACCAACCAACCAACCAACCAACCAACCAAATGTCTAACATTCTCCAATGTCAGAGGGATTCTTATGTTTCATAATTAAGTAATAAAGGGTGTTTTAATATTTTGTTCAGATTTTTAAAAGTGAATTAAAAATCTGATAAACAGACTGCTCACAGAATTAATAACATAATACAGAGATTTTCTTTTATAGATTACTGTTTCAGAAATCTAACTAAATCTAGCAATGAAAGAAGGGTGATTACCATCTGGCAGCTACCCAGTATTATATCATCATCATCAGTTTAAAATCTCAAGAAATAATCCAGATTAAATATTACTTGCATAAATGGTTGCTGACATCTATGCCAGATGATTACAACGATATATTTATAGGAAGTTGGGCATACATGACACAGCCTGTACTGATACAAATTCATGATTCACGTTTCAAAGGATGTTCTCCCAACCTCTTTTCTTTGGTAAAGACAAAGTAAAAAATTATCCATAAGGAATTCTGTATATTGGAATTAATTATATAAGAACAGTACTAATATAATGTTTTTATATAATTAATTCTATAATGCAATGAGATAATACCTGCTCTGCCTCAGAGTTCTTATAACAAAAATATTATGTACTGATATTCATCACCACTGTGTTTGTCTTTATGTGGGTGTGTTACTTCCCATCAAGCAAAGCCAAAGGTGCATACAGTTAATGACCACCACATCTGTTTAACAACTGTGGCAAAAGAGTGCGACTCACTTACTTAGCAATAGAAAATCTGTCCCAATTGTGAGTTAAAGTCAAGGAATAGCTATATCTCAGTCCCAATTGCCATTGTAATCTGAAGACTACCTATATGGATACTGAGTTTAAATGGGAAGAGTAGTGGGACCAAGCCTACATTTTACAAGTAATTATCCCCTCTCCTACTATTCACTTCCTTCACATGTTACAGACATGTAACATGTAAAACTTTATCTGGAATATCCAGGAAACATGAAAGAAAAACTTTTGCTGAATACGTCTCTTCTTAATATCATAAGAAACATACTTAAGACTCTTAATGTTGATTAAAATGGGATATTGTGCATCTTGCAAATAACTGATATCCCCATTAGGAATACATTTTTAACTGTTTATAGCTTAAAACATTTACCTGATTCTAACCTTACCTTTAATGCAGGAAATATTATTTTTAACAGAATAATCACATTTGCCGCCCTGAGTCTTCGGAGAGGGGCGGCATATAAATTGAATTAATTAAATTAAATTAAATTAAATTTTTGTTCAATATACTAAGAATAAAATAAACTTTATTTAAGAATAAAAGCATATATTCTACTAATTCCCCACTGTGCTGCTCCAGAGCTATGCTTTGTTTAAAAAGAAAAAAATCTGATACAAGAATTGTTCTTTAAACAAAGGTTGAGCAAATGTTATTTTCTATTAGCTGATAACAAAAATATCTTTAATGAAATAAGAGGTAATCTGTTGGAATCAGATTGGATTTGCTCTACTTGATGAACCAAATTCTAATACAATATGCTCTCTACTCCCAGAGATTAATCCATATTATATAATCGTTTATAAACATATTCATTTCAAAAATACAGTTTTCATTACCTACAGCTTAGCAAAAAGTTTACCATCCACTAACCTTTGAAATGCTAGAAGAGCCTTTCGCTGCAGGACCTCTTGGATTCCTCTCAAAGAAGCTAAAGACATAATTCATTAGTGATATTTAAATGGACATTTAATTAGTGATATTTAATTATCAAACCAATTTTAATAATCTCATAAATAGATACATGAAATTTACTTACCATCTGTAGCTTGTAGGCTGTAGGTCAATCCTAGGGCTAAAAAACCTTTGGCTTTGAATTCTGATGTTTTGTCCCCCACATCAACCACCATTCTGGCAAATCTTTCTGCCTCTTCTAACTAAAAACAGATTGTCATAGGAAAAATGGCAGAATTCATTAATTCAGAATTCACTGTTTAAATCAGGTTGACTAATATCTACTAGAATTCAAATTATTCTAATTTAAAACCAAGATCCCCAAACCATATCACAAGTGCCAAAGGTAGCAAAGAGTATAGAAATAAACATGGTTATCAACACCATTCCCTTTCTTATACATGCAACATTTCACAAGTTGAAGAACAGACCAAGATGATGCCAAGAAATGTGGGAACAATTTCAATGTTCCTACACATTTCTGAATGGCATCATCTCAGTATCCTAACATGAAGACTTATAGAGAGAAAAAGTACTCAGATGGCTTAGAAGGTTCAAGTCAATCCCCACAAAAGAATGAACTAAATTAGTCCAAAAATCAGGAGCTCAAAAGACAATGAAGGGACTAGGTAAAAATTTGCCTGAGGTGCACATAGGAATCAAGTTATCCAAGTAAATAGTATGAATGAAATGTAAGGCTACCCGTTACCAATTTTGTATTGTAGGAAATCGATTAACTTTCTATGTGAACTTTGATGTGTCTGTTGACTAAATTCCTCCCAGTTTCAGTAAGCACTTGTTACCAATTTTTCCAATCAAGGCATGATAATACAGGCAACTATTATCAACTGACTAAATAGAGGAACTAAAGTGTTACCTTTAAATCTAAGGTAACAGATCAGTTTAAAATAATAAATTCCAGGTTTTCTTTTCATAGCCAAATTACTCACTTTCTGTTACTACACATGCCATCACAAATATGCATTCTAAAAGGACTTCCAAAGATGCAGTATTTATAAGCCAGGTTAGAACTCTTTATGAAGTATAATTATAAAAGCATTCCCCAAACCTCATGGATGTGTGAACCATAATATTAATCATGTTTGAAACTGAGCCACAGCGTTTTGAATATAGAACCAAGTACCAAAATAGTCTGGAGCCTTAAGGTTTAAAATGTTTGTTAAAAAGCATATTCTTTCCAACCCTTACATGGTTTTGAAGATATAATACACTGACCAGTAATACACTAAAACTAATGCACTTAATAGAACAATGCAGAATTTTAAAAACCCCAAAACAAAGCAGGATATATACATATGTCCTTAAATACTTAATTCTTCATTTTTCAGATGACTAACAAAAAAACTTACCCAATGAAGAGTTCCCATACATAATTTAGCAGCAAGAAGTGGAATCGTAGGATCATCTGGCTTCAACCGAATACATTCTTTTAAGACTTTCACAGCTCGAGCAGACTATATAAAAAGGGTGTTAGAAAATAAGACAGTGAAGAAGTAGCAAAATGTGCTATTTCAATTTGCTACTTTAAACCATTCCAAGATATAATTAAAAAAAGATGCAATGCATTTTATTCAAAAAGGAATTGGTTTGATTTTGATTGCTGTCCAGCAACTACTAATCAGATTTGAATTTTTATACAAAGTAGCATTGAGTAGCTTATAAAAATGCCAAGAATTTAGACTTATTCTAATGAAAATTTTAAAAAATGTTTGAGAAGTAAATGAAAAAGGCTAAATAAGGATTCTCTTATATAGAAAAAATGAGCCTAGTGGCTCAGCAGACTGATAGCATTGTGATTAACACCAGCTGTCTGCAATTACTATAAGTTCGAATCTCACCAGGCTCAAGGTTGACTCAGCCTTCCATCCTTTCTAAGGTAGGTAAATTGAGAACCCAGTTTGTGGGGGCAATAAGCTGACTTTGTATAAATATACAAAAGTATGAAGGCTATTGCTTAAAGCATTGTAAGCTGCCCTGAGTTCCCGGAGAAGGGCGGCATATAAATCAAATTAAAAAAATAAAAATAAAAAATGAAATGAAATGAAAAGCAAGTTATAAATGATGTGAAAAGATTGAAACATTTTAAGGAAGAAATTGTTACAGATTAACAGAGTTGGAAGGGACCTTGCAGGTCATTTAGTCCAACTCCCTGCCCAAGCAGGAGATCCTACATCTGCCTCTACCTAGGACGAACTCACAACCTCCTGATTGTGAGGCAAGAGCTCCACCTCTAGTAGATAGTGTAACTTGGAAAACAGTAAAGTACAGATGTGATTAATGTGAGCATAAGCATGAGGCCTGTATTTGTGTCTGATAGTTGGGAAAAAAAAGTTGCTCCCTTATACCAGGGAGCAAGAGTTGCAAAATTATAGAGGGGAGGGATGCATCTAGTACTGTGTTTGACAAAATATTAAATGAAAGGGCTTTTGGATAGGCAGGGAGAATGAAGACCACATTTTTGCTCTTCAGTAGCCATCAAGATACATATGAATTATGAAAATGTGTATTATGTTCATTTAGGAAAAGCTTATGATAATTGAATTATGGAGTATTTTACACACATGTGGAGTTGAAGGTTGGCTGTTGAATGTGGTAAAAACAGCATAACATATAATAAAGCATGTATGAGAATAAATGCAATGTTTAACAAATGTCCCAACATTGAGTAAGGCAAAAAGACGATTGATGTGTGATATCATCTTGATTTTTAATGCTGGGTTAAGCTGACAAGCCAAATGATTTGCAGTGAATGTTAGACTGTATGATGCAGTGAGGAGTATAGATCTAAATACTATATACAGATCAAGAAGTTTGTTTCTGAGAAGAGAAATGGAATGAATGATTGCAATTTATACATATATGGCAAAAAATTCCAGTAAGTGGTATCTTGGTATATAGAATGTTTAAACATGCAGAAATGGAGAATGTTTTACAATGGCTAGATGTGCTTCACAGATTAAATGTAAAGATGTAAAGCACCCTTTCCGAGCCACTGGTCGTAATTTGAGGACTACCTGTATTTAGGAGCAATGAAACACAATATTTCAAAGAAGGAAAAAAAGAAACACAAAGAAATTTGTGCTACATCTACTTTTCTACTCTAACCAGTAGATGACTACAGTTTGTTGGTGTTAGGATATGGTTTGAGCCTAACAAGTTGTCCAGGCAATATGTGTTCTGTGACTTTAATATGAATATATATTGTGTGACTTTAAAGTTTTACTGCTGATTCATTGTAATGCTGAGTCATGCTGTAATTAGTTGTGAACGTATTTAAGAAAGGTACTGTAACATATTCAGTTGATGATAAGATACCATTGTGCGAGGAGTGCTATCCATTGTGCTATCATCGTTGGATGGATCTGCTACCATCGTGGTTTGTGAACCAGAGTGAGTTTGTTATTCTAACCAACTACTGTTTGTGTGGTAAGAAGATTTTTGTATCACTGGACTGATTTAACTGGCAAAGACTTGGATTGATTTAAAAACTATGAGATTGTTTTTTCACTATAAAGTAAACTTTTGATAAACCAGTTTGCACATCTCTTATTCATTGCTCTCAGCAACGTTTCTCTGTGCTCTACACTCTGCTGGTTGGTAACACAACAACAATATCCTTAACAGTTGGCTCAACAGATAAACAGAGCTAGAGCTGCCATTCTGTACACAGTTATGAAAATGAAGGCTTATATAACGCAAAGAGTGTATGCAGGATTATAGCCTACTTTGTTGCCATTAGCAGCCAGTAATAAAACAAAATTTGCAAAGAAACTTACTTTTCCTGCTGCCATTAATGAAAGTGCAAATTGATACCAAAGATGGAATTCTTCAAAGGCAAATTTCATAGCCCGTTCCAAACACTGCAATAAAATTGAGAATACAGATCATTAATAGGTATAAATTATTCAAACTAACACTACTCATATTTCTACACTGACTATATTAGCTGGTAATTACACTTACTGGCAAACAAAACAATGCTTGCAATTTTTGTTACAGAATATAAGTATCATGCCAAGGTGCGTGATGCAAATGACTGAAGACTTTGTTGTTGTCATATGCAAGTAAGAATGAAAGCCTGGGTTATTTTATGTGAGTGTAATGCAAGCAATAGACGAGAGAAGAGCAGGGGTATACTATAAAACTCATCTTTTGTCTTTAGGAAGTTTATTCAACTTTTTGACTCCATTTTCTCTCTCCATGTCTTTCTCTCAATTCATAAAATATTATTTATGTTACTTTGTAGTGGAATTTCATGATGAAATTAACAACAGGAAAGGAAAATTCTCAAAAAACTTTACATTCAAAAATGAATTCCTTTTAGCTCAGCTTTAAATGTCCTAACAAACTAAACTTCTGAATCAACAGCTAACAGGGAGGCAATATATAAACCTATTCTATGGAACCAATGAAAACAGTTAACATAAAGGAAATGTTCATGAAATACATATAAAAAAGGGAGTTTCAACGCAAATGTCAGGTCACAATGGTAAGAAAGTGAGAAATGATAACAAACACAACAATTCCCTAACAAGCACCTCAAACATTTTGATTGGATTCTTCTTCTTCTTGTGCCATATCCGTCATCAGATGCTGGAGATCATGTTGGCGATTCTATTTTTATCAATAGCCGCATGAAAAAGTGCTGCCGAGTTTTGTCCAAACCAGTCCCTTAGATTTTGAAGCAATGATGTTTTTCTTCTGCCAGGACCTTGTTTGCCTTCAATCTTTCCCTGGAGGATTAAATGAAGTATGCCATATTTTTCCGGGTGTTGCATCACATGTCCGAAATATTCTAACTTTTGCTTTTTAATGGTTTTGATGATTTCCCTTGGCTTTCCTAGGTGGCTTATCACCTCATTTCTGATTTTGTCAACCCAGCTTATACGTAACAGCCATCTGTAAATCTACATTTCAAATACTTCTAGTCTCTTCAAGTGGCTTTCTGTCAGAGACCAACGCTCTACTCTGTAGAGCAGAATAGAAAAGATGTAACATCTGACAAGCTGTTACATGTCGTAGCTGCAGAAGATCTTTTTTCATTTTGAAGAATGCTGTTTGAGCTTTCTCTATCCTTGTCTTTACTGTGGTGGTCATGTCCCAGCTTTCATGTAAATTAGAACCGAGGTAGGTGATCCTTTCAACTTTTTCTAGTGGTATTCTTTTCGAATTTATCAGTGGTAAATTAATGGGTTGTTTGCTGATGACCATGATCTTGGTTTTTGAGGTGTTAAGCTTTAAGCCGTATTTTTCAGATATTTCTGTCACTCTGTTGATGAGGAGCTGAAGGTCTTCATGTTTACTGGCAAGCAGAACTGTATCATCAGCATATCTTAAACTGTTGATCGAACACTGTTTACTTTTAGGCCAGCATCAATGTTTTCCAGTGCTTCGTTGAAAATTGACTCAGAGTAGATATTAAACAACAGTGGAGACAGGATACAGCCCTGTCTGACCCCTCATCATATTTCTGCATCATCTGAATATTTTCGGCCTAGTCTCACATTTGCTACCTGATACGAATATATTCTTTATGATTTGGGTGTTTTTGTCATCTAGTACCACTTGTTTCAGGATTTGATTGGATAGCATTTTTAAATTCAATGTTAGTTGACTTACTCAAATTCCTGATTAATGCTTTTGCAACATTTTCAGCAACTATTTTATGGTAACATATTGTGAGCCATCCAGAGTTAGTTGGAACCAGGCGGTGCCTAAATTTAATTAAGGAAGCATCTAAATTCTATTTATGAATTCAATTATCTATATTTCAGCAGGAAAGAAATTTACCATACAAATTGAATGGATTTAGTAATTTGATAAGTTAAATTTCATCATGAGGGAAATAGAACTTGGAAGAGCAAGAAGGGCTCTTTCAAAGAAAGGGAAGCCATGAAAAATGGAACGAATGGGAAGCAGAGAAGCATGGATCAGCTATCCAGGAAAAAAGTTATGAAACAAAAATGACTACTACATTTATATTTTTCAATTCCTTTTCAGAACTAATTCTGATGACGATCCATAATGCTTACTTCCAGGGTAGGCACAGAATTTAGTTTCCAATTGGTAGCAGTAAAAGCAATAAAGAATTGATAGTTCTTAAAGAGAAATGTATTTACTACACAGAGGCCCCATTACCCTTTCCAAGGACTTCTGACATGGGAGCATATTTCTCACAATCCACATTCAAAATATTATAAACTCATGTAAAATAAGAGCCACATATAGAATGGTTGAATTGGTGCATTCCAGAAGAAAAATGCTGCGAATACTGGAATATTCTGTGACCAGCACACAGTTTCAGTGTCCACAGTATGCATGCTATTTTATAAAATTTAAAATTTAACTTTTAAAATTATTTCTACAGTTCCTTAATGCAATTGTATAGTTATTTACTCTGAAATAAACCCCATTATATTCAGGATTTCCAGCTTTTATAAAGCTGCTCTCACAAAAATATTTTTTTTAAACATAGAGATCTTTATTAGCCAAATAGCACCCAATTCTGCTTTTATCGTAAGAAGAAACAAAAAAACCCTTCCCCTAAAGTACATAGCAATAAAGGCACAACTAATCTTCAAGCTTGTGATGGTGAAAGAAACCTTCAGTATAGGTAAGTCCTTGATTTACAATTAAGCCCAAAATTTCTGTTTGCTAAGCAAGTTACTTGTTAAGTGAAATTTGCCCGATTTTACACCCTTTCTTGCCATAGTTTTGGCACAATTAAGTGATCACTACAGTTGTTGTTAAGTTAGCAATGCAGTTGTTAAATGAATCTGGCTTCCCCACTGACTTTGTCAGAAGGTTGCAGAAAGTGATCAGATGGTGCTAGAACACTGCAGCCTTCATAAATCCATGCAAAATGCCAAGCATTTGAATTTTGATCACATGACCATGGTGATGCTGCAACAGTCGTAAGTGTGAAAAATGATCATAAATCACTTCTATCCCACTTTTCTTCCTTTCTTTAAATGAAGCTCATAAGTCATGCCTGTGCTAAATTTAACGTCCTCTGACAATGAGAGTGATGATTCAATAAGAAAGCAAATCTTTATTATATACATCAACATTAAGAAGTTAAGATGACAATTGAAAGCTGAAAGGAAAAAAGGGGAAGAAAAATGAGACTACATATCTCATCCAGCAAAAGGGGGGGGGGAATTTATTCCAAACAGTCTAGATTTGATCTGCAAATCAGATTTATGTTTGCCTTTAACTCTTTCATGTCAATACCTTTTGAGATGAGATTTTTATTCAATCATTCAAGCATGTTGATAAAAGTATGGTTTTATATGTCGAGTGTCAAAAGCCCCTCAACAACACATCATCTTGATGGATGGTATTGAAGACCATGAAGGGGATACGGAGAATACTGACGGATTCCAGCAACAAAACACGGTGGAGGGGGGTGTTGCATTAGGACACCATGTACACTAATAGTGAGTGATGGACTGAAGGCAAGAAGGGGGTGTGTGGAATGGGAACGTAAATCAGCTGCTGAAGAGATAATAGTGCGGAGGGGAATGACGTCCTATATCCTGCGACGAGCATGAACGGAGCAAGCGGCAGCTTTGATTGTGACAGCTGTGAGAAATCACTGCCTGCCTAATGATAGTTAACTGTATCCATGCCCTATAAAACAGTACGGGCGGAGAGCTAGGGCGTCCTGTGTTGCCTCCATTAAACTGGGTTTTGGAACGAATCCTTGTTTTACTGTTGTCCTTGTGAAATGCCCAGTGCCATTGTTAAAAAGTAAGTCTTTAAAATAAAATGAGTAAAATACTATTTTTCAAGTGACAATCCCTTTAGCTATCACATAAATTACATTCAATCCTTTGCATTCTTATCATACTAAATTCTGTCAGGTTTTATTTCTCTTATATCCATCAATATCAGTGAACATTCAACTGAACAACAGATAATCTGTTAAATGGTACACTGAATTGGTGAATTCTTTTTTTTAATTTATTGTTCAACAGGAATATTGCATAAGTCCAGAATGAGCTCATTTAGAATTTTGAAACCATGATATGAGTACCACCCCAAAATGTATTTATTTCTCAAATTTCTAGCTTATAAGAAGTAACTTTAGGCAGCATACAGCAATCAAATAAAACAATAAAAACATTAAAAAATAATAAAAATATAAAACAATCATCATTAAACATTAAAATACTATTGAAAATTAAAATATGTACAAACTACAAGGCACAGAGAGAGTAAATGTATCAGCCACAATAATGGAACCATCTAAGAATGATAACCAGTTCCCTGGGATCCCAAGCCTGATGACATAATCAGGTTTTCAGGGATTTCCAGAACACTAACAGAAATGGAGCTTACCTGACTTTGGGTAGGAGAATATTTCATAAGGCGGGTGCCATGACAGAGAAGGCCCACCTCCTGGGACCCACCAAATGTAGGTGCCTAGCAGATGGTACCCACATCATGTCTTCTTTGCCAGATTTAAGAGCACAGGCTGAAGTAATCAGAGAGAAATGGTCCCTTAGATAACCTGGTTCTATGCCATAAACGTCTTTAAAGGATAAAACCAGCACGTTGAATTGAATTTATCCAAAAGAATAAAATAAAACCGGGGGGGGAGGGGGAGGATGCCTGACAGACATGGAGGAAGAGCTTCCAGTTATACATGTACACAAACCATGCAGCATGCATCTAGCTTCATATGGATGCCAGGCCTTATTTTACAACTTACCTCTGAGAGCATTTCATATTGACCTCTTCTTCCCAAGGCAATGGTAAGCAAATCGTACACTACAGATGCACTTTGCAAACTGATAATACGGTCATTTTTGTGTTCCGGTATTCTGCTCAATACAGCATCACGATTAGCCTGAAAAACCATACCAAACAAGAAAAGTTGTGATGAGTATATAGGTGGCCCTTGTTTAACAACCACTCATTCAGCAACTGTTCAAACTTACTATGGTGCTGACTGAGTGGTAATTACAACTGAACCTCATGCTTATAACATTGTAATATCCCACAGTCACATGATTGTGATTTCCAACCTTCCCTGTCAGCTTCCCAGAAGCAAAGTCAAAAGGGAAATGGACAGGAAGTCAGATATCCCAATCACATAAGGATCTTGCTTAATGACCTATGTGGTCCTTGCTTAACTACAGCAACTGGAACTGTTGCTGAGCAGCGCAGTCATGTGATTTTTCAACCTGTAATTGTATCATTTAACAACATAATTGCCAATTAGTGTTGTTAAACGAGGTAACAACCTGCAACAACCTGCAAAAGACCATAAAGGAAAAAGAAGCATTATCTTCTTAGTATTGTCAGAAATGGGATACCTTATTCAGAAATGGAGAGTCATTAGTAATGAAATGGGATCAAAGACCTGAATATAGGCAGAGATAAAAAAAACAGCATACCTATTACGTGAGAGGGAAGGTAAAAGGTTTGAGAACTATTTTTGTGAAAACCTGCTGCAAAAAGATAGTAAATATCCATGCAGAATATTCTGACAAGGATAATAGTTTAAATCTTGACATGTATCCAGTTCCTTGTAGGTTAGCGCATCTATTCTACTGGTATAAGCCAAAGCTAGTCGAGTTGTTACAGATAGTCCACAATTTACAACCCGCCACTTAGCAACATCTGAAGTTAGGATGGATCTTCCTGGGTTTACCTGCAGCATGGTTCTGAAGTCTTGATAGCCAGGTCTCTTCCTTGTGGTCACATGACTACATTTGGGTGCTCAGCAACTGGCCTCCTGAAGTCATGTGACTGTGTTTTAAAATGTTTTTGCCAAAAACTGTAATCTACTTCTGGTTTTCGGCAAAACCAATCCATAGCTGATCACTGGTTTGCTTAACGACTGCAGCATTTGCTTAACAACCACCACAATAAAGATCATAAAATTGGGTCAATCACAAGGATGACTCTTTTTTTATGACTGTCACAACTTATGGCCATGATAGATAGGCTCTATTAAAGTCATAAGTTGAGGATTACTTGTACAAGTATGGAAGATGCAAGTGGTGCAGATAATTGGTTGAGATCACATGTGTGCTTACGAGTACATTTATACACACACATACATCCACACAAGCATAAATACTGAAAGAAATGCAGAGGAAGCACATGGAGTACGTGTACCCAGAGGAAATCGTACCATGTTGTTTTCTTGCTTTGAATCCACATACTGCACACATGGTAGCCTATCTATGTAGATACACACTTAACTTTTGCTCTTGTTACAGCAAGTTACAATTTGTGAACTATTAAACAGTAAAATGCAACAGAAATAATATAAAAGGTGCTCATTTATAAAGAAATATAACTCACCATGGATTCACTGATTAGTAGCAGCAACAAAGCTTCTTCAGTATTCTCTTGAGGACAAAAAATGCTGTTAAAAATTGAGCATTCATTATATTAGTCAACAAAATTGATTTACATGTAATAGTTAACAGTTGTGTCACATCTGCATATTCATGATGATCCAACTTGATATTTTGTTTTTGTAAAAGCAACTCAAATTATGGAAATGAAGCCATTTTTGAAACAGGTGTTTCAAAGTGTAACAATTTAGAATAGCTCAAACAAATATGCTACTTTGGCAACTAAAACTACTCATATTTAAAATGCTAATGTCATATTTTTATAATATTTAAATATTCATATATAGAGCTGTTCAGTGGTCTGAAGAGTACATTTTTCCTATAAATTTCTTTTATAGGATAATTTCCTATAAATATTCTAATCAGAATATCTTGTATTTTTTTTGTTTTTAACCCTCTTAAATGACATTAAACCTGACCAAATTATAATTAACCACTCTACATTTTTTTTATTATTTATAATATTTGAAACTCAAGACCATTTAATAGGGACCTTTAGCAAGACTGGGAATGCAGGAGGCAGGCACCAATCTGTGATGTTCTCTGACAATGGATACATTTTCAAGAAATATCTATAAAGAAACCAAGGAGCTCTGAAATGATTATATGGCGTCCATCGTATTCATCGTAGTGATCAGAGAAAAACGTGATAAAATGTCAGCTCCTTAATAGTGACCCATCAGCCCTGCAGAACAGACCAGATCAGGAAAGAGACTTCATAAGACTACTGAAACTGAGAGAAAATGATGTTGGATTTGAACCTAGATATCTCCAGTCCTAGCTGAACATTTGAACTATTGACTATGGTATCTTAACCAGTTCTCCATACTGGCAACACATTCCACATCAATATTTTAGAGAATGCATAATTCAGAATATTAAGAAATTTGAGAAAAAAGTTTATTTACTTAATGAAAACATAGGCAGTGAATAGCAAGCACACTGAAATAAAATCTGATCACCTATAGGAAATACTTAGAATTTTTCCTAATAAATTTTAAATCCTGCATTCAACCTGATTTGCTTTATACTTAAGAGATTTATTAAGAGACGAATTCTTGGCATCACCTGACAGGACAAAGTTCCAAATAGCGCAGTCTTGGAACATGCTGGAATTTCTAGCATGTATACACTATTGAAACAGCGATGTCTACACTGGCTGGTACATGTCGTGAGAATGGCTGATGGTCGGATTCTGAAAGATCTCCTGTATGGAGAATTAGTGCAGGGAAAGTGCCTCAGAGGGAGACCACAGTTGTGATATAAGGATATCTGCAAGAGGGACCTAAAGGCCCTGGGAATGGACATTAACAACTGGGAAACCTTGACCTCCGATCGTTCAGTTTGGAGGCTAAAGACGCAGCATGGCCTTCTCCAATTCGAAGAGACACTTGTTGGGCAGGCTGAGGCAAAGAGGCAGTCCCGGAACCAGTGAAATCTGGGGGCTGGGCAGGGGACAGAATTTATCTGCCCTCAGTGTGGAAGGGATTGCCACCCGTGAATTGGCCTTTTTAGTCACACTAGATGCTGTTTTAGGACCTCTTTCCAGAGCGCACGATACCATAGTCTCTTGAGACTGAAGGATGCCAATGAAGAGATGTACAAAATATTTAAGTTTTGAACTCTAATCCTATTTAGAACTCAAAACAATTGTTTTAAGTTCACAACAAACAGTTTTGAATTATAAGATGATTAATATTTGCTGCTGCGTATAACTTACAAATAAACATTCAGACATCCAGCCATGCACATTTTAGATAGATTTAGTTATTGTAACAGCTCTGTTAAAATTCTTTAATTTTCAACATGGCTAAGATAAAGGCAATCCCCAGTGATCTCACATATAATCAGTGTGTTTTAATCTGCCAGGAAAAGGGAAAAGACCTTTTTGAGAGGCTTTGAAAACTGCACTGCGGACCCAAACAGAATGGTAACTGAAACGTATCGCTAATAAATCTGCTTTGTTACATAGCCGAATGAGTCTTAATGCCAATTTCTACCATAGGAAGCATACTTTAAAAACAGATGTGTCTGTCCTTATCATTCAAACATTTCATGTTTTACCTAAAAAAGCTTTTAATTCTGTTTTCCATTTCTACTTTTCTCCACAGTAACTTATCCTTTGCACTCTTCTTTCATCTTTTCTACTTGCCCTGTGTACACACAGTAATACAGTTAAGGGACTGTGCCCATACACTGTGTTAATCTTATTTAAATAGCACAAATCATATGAACTTATTATATTCTAACATACTTTTCTCCTGAATACACGCGAGGTCTTCTGCTAAGAGCATAACTTTTAGTGTTTCCAGCTTTCCAGAGTGGATCATTTAAGGGTGACTGTTGAGGAGGGTCATCCAGAGGGTGCCAGTAACTCTGTTCACACATGCCTCGTAGCAAAATTTCAGCTAACTGCCTTGCTATTGTCTGTTAGGAAGAAAAAAGAAATCACCACCACCACAATGCTTAGAATAAACAAAAGCAGGATGCAGAACTTGTGTATAACAGGAAACAACTTCCTCCTTGAAGTCCTTGTGCACTGTACAACTTTATTCAATAATCGATGGTATACAAATGGGGTGTATGTAGAATATATCATACTTTTCGGAGTACAAGCCACACTTCCCCCCCCCCCAAAAGTGGGTGGAAATGTCTGTGCGTCTTATACAGCGAATGTTGCAGAAGCCTTGCCCACCTGCTGGGCCCCACCCTTCGGCCTCTGCCTCCCAGCAATTTATCTCCTTGCAGCAAAAAGCATGGTCAGCTTCAGCACAGCCTGATTTAGCACAAGCAGCTAATTGGCAGTTAGATTGGCCTCCCAGAATACTGCCTATCAGTTGTTCCAGGCTGCAGGGATTGCTGCCACCCATTGGCGCCGTTGTCACCCATCGCCACTGCCACCTATCGCCGCCTCTGCGGCAAATTTTTGTCCTCCGTGCATCCCATTTTTGGCCTCCGTGTGCCCCATTTTTGCCCGTTCCAGGAGACAGATAGGTGGCACCTGCAGCCTGGAACAGGCCAAAAATGGGGTACTATGAGGCTGGAAATGTGATGCGCGGAGGCCAAAAATGGGGCTGGCAGAGGCAGTGATAGCACCAATGGGCGGCGACAGTGCCAATGGCCGGAGGCGATCCCCGCAGCCTGGAACAGCTGATAGGAGGTATTCCAGGAGACAGATTTAACCTCCAATCAGCTGCTCGTGCTAAATCAGGCTGTCCTGAACCTGACCACACTGTTTGGTATTTGCTGCAATGAGGCAAATTGCTGCGATGCAGGGGCAGATTTTTTTTTCTTGTTTTCCTCCCCAAAAGCTAGGTGCGTCTTATACTTCAGAGCATCTTATAGTCCGAAAAATACAGTAATGTCCAGAATAAAATATAGCCTAAAGAACAAACTCACCAATGTAACCATTAAAAGTTTCAAAAAGCAATCAATTATATCATATGTACAAATAATTCGTTCTTCACATTCTTATTTTTAAGCAGCCAAAAAATTACCATCTATATATCAGAGAATATCAATAAGCTTGGGGAAAGCTATTAATTTGCAGAATTTTTTAAAAAGATGTTAGCCAAGTCAGAAACCAAAAAGAGATCTGAATTTTAAAAAAACAGTGGGGAGAGAGAAATGATTTGAAATCAAGTATTTTATACTAGAATGGTTCTAATCTATTCATCAAAGTAACACCTTTTTTTATATGAAGCCATGTTTGCTACATAGGAGAAAGGCTTGGTTTGTCTTCTAAAAAATATAACTTCATATACCTGGCTTGTTTAATGAATTAGAATTTGTTTTCAAAGTATGAGTACATAAATATCACAGGGAAGCCAGTCAGGAACTATTTTCCTTTGGCACTAAAGATAAAACCAGGACCAGGACCACTTTATATAGATACTGAACTTTTCCAAATATGTTTATTTTTCTGCACGTATTATATTATATTATATTATATTATATTATATTATATTATATTATAATTATATTATATTATATTATATATTATTATATTATATTAATTAATATATTATATTATATATATTATATTATATTATATTATATTATATTATATTATTATATTATATATTATTATATTATATTATTATATTATATTAATATTATATTATATATTATTATATTATATATATAATATATATAATATAATATAATATAATTAATATAATATAATATATATAATAATATTATATTATACATTACATTACATTACATTACATTACATTACATTACATTACATTATATTATATTATATTATATTATATTATATTATATTATTTATTAATTAAATTTATATCCCGCCCTTCTCCCCGAAGGGACTCAGGGCGGTGAACAGCCGAGAATTAAAATAACATACAATATAAAAGTTAAAATAATTAAAAATAAATTAAATTAAATGGCCGCTCCAATTTAAAATCCCTAGCAATACAATTAAAAACTAACCCATAAAACCTATTCAGGCCAGGCCGGCTTGCTGAAATAAAAACGTCTTCAGGGCCTTACGGAAAGTGCGGAGATCCGGAATCAGCCGTATTCCGGGAGGTAGCTTGTTCCAGAGGGCGGGTGCTCCCACAGAGAAGGCTCTCCCCCTGGGGGCCGCCAGCCGACATTGCTTGACCGACGGCACCCTGAGGAGGCCCTCTCTGTGAGAGCGTATTGGCCGGTGGGAGGTTATCGGTAGCAGCAGGCGGTCTCGTAAATACCCTGGCCCTAAGCCATGGAGCGCTTTAAAGGTGAGAATCAACACCTTGAAGCGCACCAATAACCAATAATTATGCTATAATATTTTAATAGTCTAATGATATCAATAATCACTGCATTAAAATCAACACTTACAAATAAACCTATGTATTCTTATTCTTAGTTGAATTTTATTGTATTCAAGCATTAATTTACCACAGCTATAAAAACTTACCATGCGTAGATTCTGTGTAGTTCTTGTTTCAACAGCTCTTAGAATCTCTCTAAATCTGCCAACTCCTCTTGTCAAATTTCTGTATAAGTACATAGAATATAATAAAAATTGTAATATAATAATATAAAATTATTCCAAGCTGTTATTTAAATACTGCATCCTTTCTTATTAATTCTATAAGTACATTAGTAGCGTTTTCCATTTATTGAAGTTCATTTAAAATATTTCACACCTTATCCCCTTTTATAAAAATAAAACAATTTTAAATCTGTAAAATGGATTGATTCCAGGATAGAATTCCATTCACAGCACCATGCAAATGGAAGATGATTGAAAATTATTCCTTCTCCCAAAAATAAAGAGGGGGGGAGAGAGGGAGGGAGGGGGAGGTAAGGGATTTTTATAAACAAAAAACAATCATGAAGTTAAATGTCATAAAATGCAGTAAAGTGAAAAACTGGAAAGTATAATCCATGAATTTATATTTGTATTTTTTAAATAAATTCAACAGTAAAGGTAAAGGGGATAATGAGAAAAACTCACATCATTTAATTAAGTTTCTTTTACTGATAAATAATTTTTTGTTATTCCTTCATTCAAAGATAATAATATTCCCAGTATTGGTAGTAGAGGGATCAAACAAGTCCAGGAAATGTATGTTTCCAATTTGCATATCAATTTGCTTATGGTCATGGGGGATTTTAACCTGCCATCCGTCAATGAGGTGTCTGAAGTGGCTCGGGAGTTCATGGCTTCCATGACGGCCATGGACCTGACCCAGTTAGTTCATGGCCCTACTCACACGGGGGGAAACACGCTAGACCTGGTTTTTGTCTCTGGTCAGTGGTTGAGTGATCTTGAGATAGGGGATATAGTGATCGAGCCCTTGTCATGTTCAGATCACTCCCTCCTTCGCTTTGACCTTCGAACCGCCGCACCCCGCCGCAGGGAGGCGGAACCATTGAGGTGGTACCGCCCCAGGCGCCTGATGGATCCTGATAGGTTCCAGACGGAGCTTGGGCCATTTCCTGAGGCTCTGGCACACGGCTCGACTGAGGAGCTGGTGGCCGCCTGGGATAGGGCGGCCGCTGGAGCTTTGGATCGGGTCGTGCCTTTGCGGCCTCTGACCCGGCGTCGATCTCGCCTGGCTCCTTGGTTCACCGAGGAGCTGATGGAGATGAAGTGCCAGAAAAGACGCCTGGAGAGTGGTTGGAGGGCCAGCCATTCTGAATCTGACCGAACACTGGTAAGGTCTCATATTAAGACCTACCTGGTGGCGATAAAAGTGGCGAAGTATAACTATTTTGGCACTCTTATTGTGTCATCAGATAATCGCCCGGCCGCCCTGTTTAGGGTGACCCGCTCCCTGCTCCACCAGGAAGCGCGGGAGGACCCCTTGGAGGGCAGAGCCAAGGATTTTGTACAGTATCTGTATGACAAAATCGCTCAGATTCGGGAACACCTGGACTCTGACTGGGTAGATTCAGCAGGGAGGACAGAGGCAGGTCTTGTGAGTATTATCTGGGAAGAGTTTGATTCTGTGACGCCCGAAGACGTGGACAGGATACTGGGCAGACTGAGTGAAGCCACATGTTTACTGGACCCGTGTCCCTCCTGGTTGGTGCTGGCCTCTCGGGAGGTTACACGAGGCTGGCTCCAGGGGATTATAAATGCTTCCCTGAGTGAGGGTGTCTTCCCTGCCGCCTTGAAAGAGGCAGTGGTGAGGCCTCTCCTCAAGAAGCCTTCCCTGGACCCGGCAGTGTTGGTAAATTATCGTCCAGTCTCCAACCTTCGCTTCGTTGCGAAGGTTGTTGAGAGTGTGGTAGCGCGGCAGCTCCCCCAGTACCTGGATGAATCATCGTATCTGGATCCGTTCCAGTCGGGCTTCAGGCCCGGGTACAGCACAGAAACAGCATTGGTCGTGTTGGTTGATGATCTCTGGAGGGCTCGGGACAGAGGTTGTTCCTCTGTCCTGGTCCTATTAGACCTCTCAGCGGCTTTTGATACCATCGACCATGGTATCATGCTGCACCGGCTAGAGGAGTTAGGGGTGGGGGGCACCGTCCTACGGTGGTTCTCCTCCTTTCTCTCTGACCGGTCGCAGTCCGTGTTGACAGGGGGGCAGAGGTCAACCCCGAGGCCCCTTGTATGTGGGGTGCCACAAGGGTCGGTCCTCTCGCCCCTTCTGTTCAACATTTATGTGAAGCCGCTGGGTGAGATCATCCGTGGTTTCGGGGTGAAGTACCATCAGTACGCTGATGATACTCAGCTGTACATCTCCACCCTGGACCACCCCAATGATGCCCTTGAAGTGATGTCCCGGTGCCTGGAGGCCGTGCGGATCTGGATGGGGAGAAACAGACTCAGGCTCAACCCATCCAAGACCGAGTGGCTGTGGTTTCCGACATCCCGATATAGTCAGTTGGTGCCATCACTGACTCTTGGGGGTGAGTCATTGGCCCCCACGGAGAGGGTTCGCAACTTGGGTGTCCTACTGGACTCACGGCTGTCTTTAGAAGAGCACATGACGGCCGTGGCCAGGGGGACTTTTTATCAGGTCTGCCTGATTCGCCAGTTGCGTCCCTTTCTGGATCGGGACTCATTAAATACGGTCACTCATGCTCTCGTTACTTCCCGCTTGGACTACTGCAATGCTCTCTACATGGGGCTCCCCTTGAGGAGCACCCGGAGGCTCCAGCTAGTCCAGAATGCGGCCGCGCGGGTGGTTATGGGAGCGACGTGGCGCTCCCATGTGACCCCCCTCCTGCGTGAGCTGCATTGGCTCCTGGTGGTCTTCCGGGTGCGCTTCAAGGTTTTGGTTACCACCTTTAGAGCGCTCCATGGCATCGGACCGGGGTATTTACGAGACCGCCTTATGCTACCAATAGCCTCTCACCGACCAGTACGCTCCCACAGAGAGGGGCTCCTCAGGGTGCCGTCGGCCAAACAGTGTCGACTGGCGGCCCCCAGGGGAAGAGCCTTCTCTGTGGGGGCACCTATCATCTGGAACGAGTTCCCCCCAGAGATACGGAGGATCCTGGACCTGTGCACGTTTCGCCGTGCTCTCAAAACTTTTCTATTTCAGCAGGCTGGCCTGGCCTAACTCTCCTCTTTTAAATTTTTTAATTCGTGATTTTATAAATTGGGTGTTTTAATCTGTGTTTCGGCCAAAATATTTAATAATTTTAAGGGATTTTTGTATTATCTGTATTTTATCTTGGCTGTTCACCGCCCTGAGTCCTTCGGGAGTAGGGCGGTATAGAAATTTGATTATTATTATTATTATTATTATTATTATTATTATTATTAATAATAATAATAATAATAATAATAATAATAATAACCATTTTGAAAACTTGAATGAGCCTGAGAAACAGTACTATAACATATAAGTGGAGTTTAGGAACGAGAAGATGTGAACCACAGATCATGCATGGAAGCTGCAATAAGAAAATTTCAAATGTTTTTCTTCCAACTTAACAGAATGTGATGTCTATTTTGCAGAAGTCCAAAAATTTCAACATAATGCATAATAAAGGAAGGAATGTTTTGTATTTGTATATATTATTTCCCAATAATATATTTTTCTCATCATTTTTTCTTAACACATAATTAACAATATTAATCCATTATTTTTATAATGCAGCATTTTGTACTATATTACACTTATTATAATGTAGTTAATTTCAAACCGAGGACTAGCATTTTACCAGTACTAGAACTATAAATAAAACTCAACTCAGAATCATCTGTATTTTTATATCTTCTAATTACTCATGGGTTATGTTTTCTGTTGAAGTTTCTGCTTGAGATCTGACAAATGAAACAATATTAACAATTGTCCTTTTCAGTTAATTAGGAAACACATTTTACTAATTAGTATTGTTTTCAGAAAGTTTTCAGCACTTGCTACTTAAACCTATGAATTTTTATTTATTACATTTTTATCCCACCATAACTACTTTACAAGTAACTCAAGGTGGCAAATATACATAATACTCCTTTCTCCTCTATTTTCTGATTCTGTGAGGTGAGTTAAGCTGAGAGAGAGTGATTGGCTCAGTATTGACCCAGCTGGCTTTTATGCCTAAGGCAGGACTAGAACCTAGGAAGTTGAAATCCACACATCTTAAAGTAATCAAGCTTGAGAAATACTGTATTAGATGATTGATTCTGGTTGAGAGCAAGTGAAGCTCAGGAAGTGCTTCCTGAAATGCATTTCCTCAGAGAAAACGGAACATTGACCCAGTCCTTAACAATTATTCAGTGGGAAAGATGACAAAAACACTGTAACCAAGTTTTTGTTTTTTACTCCAGTGCTAAAGGGCTAATGAAGTGGAAGAAAATACATTCAGCTGCTCCCTAATGCCCTCTCCCCAACAAAATGATTTCAAAGACTGTATAGTAATTCAGAGATGATTTTCCCATATTATATTATTCAGATTGCAGAAAAAACTTGGAATAATTAACTTCTCATTTTCCAACACAACATGCAACAATTTAAAAAACTGAAAATATTATGCTCCGAACTGTATATAAAGTCTCTGATTATAGTCTCTATTTTATCGAAACTTAGAAATATGCATGTACATTACAGAAACATACGATGTGTAAAACAAATGCATTAGAATTGATTTTAAGTTATAAAGAAGGTATTTCTTAAGAAATTTTTAGAGTCTTAAAATAAACATAAACACTGGTAAAGTCGCATATTAAGGCCTACCTAGTGGCAATAAAGACGGCAAAATCTAACTACTTTTCCGCCTCTATTGCATCATCAGGGAATCGTCCGGCTTCCCTGTTTAGGGTGACCTGCTCCACCTGGGAGTGCGGGAGGATCCCTTAGAAGGCAGGGTGGAGGATTTCGGACAATACCTGTATGACAAAATCGCTCAGATCCGAGGGGATTTGGACTCTGACTGGGTAGATCAGGGCAGGGTGACGAGGAACAGTCTTGAGAATGTTATCTGGGAGGAGTTTGATGCTGTGACTCCTGATGATGTGGACAGGATTTTGGGGAGACTTAGTGCGGCCACATGTTTACTGGACCCGTGTCCCTCCTGGTTGGTACTGGCTTCC